TATTCCAGTATATCAGGATACCTCATCATAGTCTATTGCCTTTCATACTCTGTACATTATTTTGTATTGACGCCCCATGGCCTTGGGGGCGCTGCATTCATGCATGCAGGTCCTGACAGACGACTGAGTAGGCCTCCTCACCAGTAAGATTGACTTTTATCCGGTTGGCTAGCCCCTTTCCTCCGGAGCTGCCAGAATTGGGAGGTTTGTTACATTTTGTTGTATATATCTTTATGGGTAGGCTGGGGCCCTGTCCCACCAATCTTTACTACTCTTAGAGGCTTGCAGACTAGTGTGTGGGGTTTATAGCTACGTTATGGCCATGTTGGCCTATGTTGTTGGTTTGCGGAAGCTTGTGAGTTGTTTGATGTATTGTATTGATATATACTTGCTTTTAGTTTTGGTATAGATATCATGGTGGCCTCGACGGCCCAATTAGGACTTTGGTGCTAGTTGACTATTTATTTATATGATCTCCTGGGAGTAGCTGTTTCTTTTATAGATTAGTTGGCAGGGGCCTTACCGGCCGATGGCTTAGGTTTAAGCCGAGATATACTTGTTTGATTTCTTGATTGTGTGTGGCTGCCATGCGCTAGTAGCAAATGGTTCAGCAGGGTCGGCTCGGGCCTGAATTTTTGCATTAGAAGCCAGTTGCGCCTCTCGAGTTTGGGGCGTGACAAACAGTGCTTCTTTTTGGACTACCTAACCCAATCTTTAGATATAAAGATAGGGTCATCAAATTTATACTTGCCCCCAAATCACACAATCCCGGGGGATGAACACTTTACCCGATTGTAATCTGCACAATAAAACTACCTGGATCTTTTAACTTTTTGGGCAGTCTATTTTGGATCCTTCAGCTGCACTCCTCAGTAAGTGCTACAGTTTCATGTTCTGTGAGCCTCATCTTGCCAGCCACAATGTCCTTTATTTAGCATACTTCGGGACACCCTGCAAGATGTCAACCAAATGTAGATTAATGTGGACCTGTTTAAGGAGAGAGAGAAACTTACCAAAGCATTCGTCTTCATTTTGTTTTTTAAGCCTTTGTGGAAATGGAGGTGGTAATTTCTTTTGAGGAACGGGTACCTCAACATTGGAGTTTTTTACTACCTCTTCCACCTTCTTTTCTTTGTTACTTACCTCAGTATCACTCTTCTTTGGAGCTAGTTCCTCTAATTGCAACCCACTTCTAGTACTTACCGCATGCAATTGTTTTGGGTTGGGCTCAGTATCACCGGGCAGCCCACCTTGGGGATGAAAGTTCAAAGAATTAGCCACTTGCGCAACTTGTTTCTCTAAACTCATTTGGGACATCTGGATGTTTCTGATGTTTTCATCCTGCTTATCTACTCTAGCATTTAATTTGATCCTTATTTCAGTCATGAGCTTTTGGAGTAGCTCTTCATTGGTCATCCCCCCTTTTGGTGCACTAGGATTTACGCCTTGGTTAGGATTTTGGTATTGTTGCCACACCCCTTGAGCACGGTATTGGTTAGCCCCTTGCGCCTTATTTTGGTTTTGGTTCCCACCCTATGAGAAGTTAGGATGGTTCCTCCAATTGGGGTTGTACGTATTGCCAAAATTTTGTTGAACTCCACCCCTTTGCGCATTTCCCACATAATTTACAGAATTCGGGTTTGCCTCACATTGCTTAGTTTCATGAGTTCCACTACCACATACCTTACACCAATTGGCTGCCTATTGTACAATGTTTATCGGTGCCTGATTTAGAGCCATCTGTTTAAAATGTAAGGCCATGTTATGTTGCATTGCATCTAATTTGGCATTTCTGGTAGTAGCTTGGTCTACATCTAAAATCCCTACAGCCTTTTGGGTTGTGGTTCTAGATATTTCCCCCTCATATCCTTGGTTCCCTTCAGAAAGTTTATCGAGTAAGTCGAAGAACTCTTCACTTGTTCTAGATAGGGCCTGTCCACCTGTTGCACTATTAAGAAGAGCATGAGCATTATAGTCTAAACCCTCAAAAAAAAGTGTGAGCAAGTACCTCATTAGTTTGCATGTGGTATGGGCAAACATTCAACATTTGTTTGAAATGTGCCCATGCTTGGTTCATGTCCTCCCCTTGCTTTTGAATAAAGTTTATTATCTCACCCCTCAGCTTAGCGGTTTTCTTGGATGGAAAGAATCGACTCAGGAACTTCTTTGCTAGACAATCCCAAGTAGTGATGGAGTTTGGTGGCTCAGAATCTAACCAACGCCTTACAACTCCTAACAATGTGTATGGAAACAACGTCAGCCTCACATAGTCCGATGAGACTCCAATTGGGATTTATGTATCAGTAATATCTATGAAGGTCCTAAGATGGATTTGAGGATCCTCATGGGGGAGACTAGTGAATTGCCCATTACAATGGAGGATCTGTATCATGCTCTGCTTTAGTTCAAATCTACCTCCCGGTGGAGGTTTCCTAATGCTAGATGCCAAATTAGCTGAGAGTGGGACTGCCACATCACGTACAGGCCTTGCTGGGATGACATGAATGACAGGGGGTCGTATGCCTTGGTTATTCCCATTCCCTTCGTTATTCGGATTTCCTTGGTTATTTTCTGGGTTATTTACGTTGTCTTGATTATCATCACTGATGTTCCTCGGAAGACCTAAACCCAGTTCTCCTCGTCCTTGCTCCATACGGTTCCTTTTTCTACGCTCTCATAGTACTTGTTCGCGTTCCTTGTATGGTTCGACAAGTTCTCCTTTCCTAGCCAGACCTGAAAATCAAGTGCCAGCAATAACAAGCTAAGATCAAGTAATTAATATCTGAAAGTTTTAATTATAGACTAAAGAAGATCGAATATCAATCAATTTCTAAGTCCGCGGCAACGGCGCCAAAAACTTGTTGCTCCCCAATATACACGCAAGTGTACATGGTCGCGCAACTAATATAGATTCTTTAAGAAACGAGTTATCATTCCCAAGGGACTTATGATCAACTTATATTCACTTAATTCTACAACTAAAAGTAAAAAGTAACATTTTCAAGAGTTGATGATTTATTGTTTATCTACTAATAATTATGCACTAATTGAAAGTAACTACTTGTGAACGTCTTTGATATAATGTTTCAAGCAAGTTAAAAGCAATTCCAGGGCAATAACATATAATGAATATCATGTATCATATTATTGGCTCAGAACTAACTTCATTTGTCAAGTTACAGGTTTATAGGGTTGATGATATGATCTGGGTTATATTCCTCTCGTCGCTTACCCCAGTTAGCTATCTAACTACATCGTTGAGCGGGGATAAATAGACTTATTGGCGAGCATTTATATTTTATCCTATTTCGTAACCAAGCAAGGTGTTTGTCTGGGCATCACTCCTGAACACTAATCACCTCAATTTAATGGGTGGATCGAGCTCTCTATATTCTTTGGTCTATCTAACCTCTCCTCTCCCGATTTTAAGATTAGACAATAGATTTATCTTATGGTGCGCAAGCATAAAATACTAAAACAAGAATATAAAAGTAAATTGTATTGACAACCAAAAATTAATTCAACAACCTCAAATAATCAACAATCAATTCGTAGCTACAACCCCAAAACTAGGGAGTTTAGCTACTCATGCTTTAGAAAACAAGAAAATACAATAGTTCATCCAATTTCAAGAAAATAGAAGAGTTGAAGGATTAAAACCTATTACAAACTTGAATTCTTGCTCTTGCATTCTAAATCAAACGTTGAACCCTAATAATCGAGTCCTAAGGATCTATTTATAATAGTAGGAAAATTTGGGAACAAATCCTACTCAAATTAGGAATCCTATTTAATGTTTAAAAGTTGGAAAAGTCTAAAAAAATGGGACGTGTCCGCCTCCATCGCGCCTAGCAGCACGCATAGAAGTTCCACTTGTGGCGCGGCGTGCCAAGCAGTGCGCCTGAAAATTGGCGCAGAACTTTGGTTGCTGGTGCGAGGCGCCTCTCAGCGCGCCTTTGTGTGCCCTCAGTACTTCTGAGGCTGGCACGATGCGCCTCTCAGTACGCCAAGCCCTGGGGTCGTCACACTTAGTCAATTTCTTGCGCGTCTTTTCTCCTTCTTTCTTTGTTCCAAATTCAATTCCTTCGAGAGTTCCTGAAACAACTAATCATGTGTATAAGTGCATAATCATCACAAGTATAACAAAATCAAGTTGATAGACTCAAGATCATTCCTCAATTCAAGCACTTTATGTGCAATTATTGACAACTTAGGCATATAAATATGCCTAAGATCAAAGATCCTGAGGATGAGATTGTCATCAACTTTGTCTGCGATATGTTGCCATTTGTAAACAAGTTGAGTAATATTTTGTTCCAATGTTCGTGGCACATTGAGCAGGGTCACCTTTTCTGGAATATCGAGTAATTTCACTTTCCATGATATAATGAGACCAAAGCTAGTCCCTCCACCTCCTCTAATAGCCCAAAAGAGATCCTCACCCATTGAATTTTTATCATGGATACGTCCATTAGCATCGATTAATTTTGCATCAATGATGTTATCAGCAGCATTACCGAATTTTCGTGACATCATACCATAGCCTCCACCACTAAAGTGTCCACCAACACCAACCGTTGGGAAAACCCCAGCAGTAAAGGCCAATTTTTTACTTTTTTCCGCGATTCTATAGTAAACTTCCCCTAGGGTCGCCCCAACTTGAATCCAAGCTAAGCAGTCTTTTTTTTGGGTATCAATGGATATTGATGTTAGGTTTCTAAGATGAATTACGACAAAGGGGATCTCCGAAATGTATGAAAGTCCCTCATAGTCATGTCCACTGCCTCGAATTCTAATTTGTAGGCTATGTTTCTTGGAACAATGTGTACCTGCCTGGATTTGAGATTCATCATTAGGAGTGAAAATAATTGATGGTTTGAAGTCGGAGGTTATCCTTAGGTACGATCTGAAAAGGAGTTATAAATGGTGGAATATGATGAGTTTTTAGGAGTGTGAATGACTTGTGATATTGGGTTTGAGTTCCTAATTTTGTGAGAAAGGCATTCAAGAAAGTCATCATGAGTTTTGTTAGCCCATGATGATGAAAGGCAAATTGAGAGAAAAAGAAAGATTATTAACTTGTTGAAAGTAGTCATAATTGATTATGGATGTTCGAGAAAATGGAAACTAAGAACTTCTATTTATAGAGTCTTAGCTAGGAAGAAATTATAGAATTTTCTTGTATTAGTTTTAAAAAAGCAAAATTGAACTTTAATTTGCATACAAACAAATTTCGTGCAAGAAAGGTATTATATACACATCCCAAAGACTAGTCAACTGTCATGTGTGTTCAAATAGAAGATGCACATGCTTCCTCATGCCTAACATGAATTATTAGCTTTTATTTTTATACTAATTTTTCGCTATGTGTGTTGCACTATTCATCAAATTACGTAATACTATGCTATAAAATATTATATTTTGTGAATGTCCATTATTCTAGTATTTAACTTCCACACCTCCACTATCTGATTTCTAGAGAACTTTTTCTATAATTCCATGATTAATGTCATGTTTATAACAATCTTTTATATACATTTTTATAACAATATAAATATAGACATAAAGGTTTGAGAAATAATCGGAAGAAAGAAAAGAATTCTATCTTGTTCTCTCATCTATGATCTATATAGTGGTCCAACACGCTATCAACACAAGTTGTACTCTCTCATCAAAAATCAATGGTCGGTATTCATTGACTTTTATGGTCTTCAGTGTATTTATCAGATATATTTTTCTATCTAAAATTAATTATTTGTGCAATAATGATTTGTTTGGTCTAGATGTCATAATCTTTGTTATTAGGAGTTTCTTTTCACAAATTGTTGGAAGATTTGAAAAAAAAAGTGTTCATGGAAAATGTGGTCGGTTTTCATCCATCATGCAAGGGTGAGTCAGATTGCACTTGGACTTATTACTTCATTGATTGAGAGTAAAGTAGAGGATATAACCATATCACATCTAGAAGATAAGATATCAAGTTAGAATTCTAGGGTGTGTTTGGTAGGGAGGAAATTCCATTTTTTTCATGTTTGGTTGGTTTAAATGTTTGGAAAATGTTTTCCAAACCAACTCATTTTCCTCAAATTTAAAAAAAAAAAAGACTTTTTTTTATTTAATTTGGACGTGGAGTCCATTTTATTAATGCCTTAAAAGGCCAAAGTTTTCAACCTACAAAGAAACACCTGAGAGGCCCAAACAGCCCATCAGATTATAAAAACAAGATCCTATAAAATAGGGTTTCCTAAAATTCTCACTTAGCTCTTTCCATTTCTCCACCCTCCTCATTTCCTTCCCTCTTGCCGCCGCCTGGAGATGATCTCGAAGGTGCTCCTCAACTCTAAGTTTTTGTCTCTTCATCTGTGAGTAATCAACATTCTTCATGACCATCTTGTTGTATATAGAAGCTCTTGCAGCTACCAAAAGGTAAGTATTCCTTTCAATTCTTCTGTCTAAGTGTTTCCTCTTTAGCTGAATCCTTCATTCTTTCAGGTGTACTTTCTGGTGTAGTTCATGTCGAGCTTGAAAGAGAGCGTGAGCCTTGCATTTCCGCTTTGTAAATTTGTGTAAGCACTTTTCTACCACTTTCTCCTTTATGTCTACCCTTGCTTTTCTGACTCCTTGTGTTTTCCAGTTGAAGACGAATAAGAGATGCCCAGCTTGCTCCCGTGTTTCTTCGTCTCGATTTCTTAGTTGGATGCTCGTTTTGGTTTCAAATACGGCTCCTTGACTCTCAACTTTTGTTGGTCCCAGTATCGCTTTTTGCTGGTTGTCATAGCTTAGGAGTAGTTCCCGTGCAACTTTTTTGCTCCAAAAATAGATGTAAACTTCTTTGTAAATATAACAGTTGTGGAACCCTGTGACCTCAATGTTGTATTAAGCATGCTACTTGTTATTATTGTTGTATATTCTCCTTGTTCTGATCCTAAGTGTTGGGACCTGATGCTTATCAATATTAAGAAGTTTTTTTCCTAGACTCGGCAGTTGATGAAAGTGATGAAAACCCTTCTTATGCTTTGTATTTATTGTTGTATTTTCTATGAAATCTGCTAATTGATTCACTTCTCTGTAAAAACCTGTATATCTATTTGTTGCATTATTTCATATATGTCTTCCAATTTCTCAACGAGTTCCTATGGAATTTTCCAGCTTCTAGTAATCACATTTTGTAAGGCTAATGAGTCTGTTTCCAGTCTCACTTTCCTTAACCCATTTTCATAGCAAAATTGTAAAGCCTTCCACACTGTCGTTGCCTCTGCTTCCATGTTGGTGGTCTCACCTATGTTGTGAGCTTCCGCATATAAAAGATCTCGATTCTTGTCCCGTATGCAGTATCCATATGAACTCAATCCTGGATTCCCTTTGCTAGCTCCATCAGTGTTGCATGTCACCCATCCTTCACTTGGTTTCTTCCATCTGACCACTTTGTAATGTAGGGTTGGCTTGTAGTTCTGTAACATGCCCACCACTTGTGGCCAGTGATATGTCAATCCTTTAATCCATGGAAATTTTATCCTTGCCAACTGGTATATTATCAATTGACACTGATAATACATGTTGTTGTAAGTTGTTTCATTTCCATGTCTATAAGAATTTCTCCGCTTCCACAACTCCCACATAATGACCGCTGGTTCAACTTTAGGAATTTGATTTAACTTATTGGACGTCTTGTATTCCCACCACTTGAAAATGAGTTGTTGTAAATTTAACCCATTTATGATTATACCTGCACATGAGGCAAACTGCTTCCATAGCTTTTGGGCTATGGAAGCTGTTAGTAAAAAATGAGTCATAGTTTCCATTTCCCCTTCCTTGCAGCAGTAGCATTTTGACACCATTGGTATTTTCATCTTCTCAAGATTATCATCCGTGACAATTTTCCTCCTCCATACCCTCCAAAGGAAAAAACTAATCTTAAAAGGCATTCCTTTAATCCACATATACCTTCTCCATTCCTCTTCTTCCTTTCTGCACCTTATTCTATGATACGTTGATTTTACAGTAAAGAGGCCAGTTGAATTACCACACCACCAAGCTTTATCAATACCTTCCTTCGAAGCTTTAGGTTTGATATTTAGAATTATGTGCTCCACCATCTCCTCTGATAGTAAATCTCTTAATTTTGTATCATCCCACCCATCATTTGTGATGAAATATTTCACCTCAAGTTCCTCCTCTTGTGCACGATCTCCTTCTGTGTAGTATAAATCTCCTTGCCTAGTCCAGTTGTTAAACCAAAAGCTGGAATTACCAGCTTTTATTTTCCACCAAATATCATGTTCCACTTCCTCTCTAATGGAGATCATTTTCCTCCATACTTGTGATCCACCCAAACTTGTGGCAACCACAGGATGTAATTTCTTACAATACTTGTTCCATATGTACTTTGACCATAATGATGTGGTGGAAACTCTAAAATTCCACAAAAGTTTTGCAAATAGAGCTTTGTTCACATCATGTAAAGATCGAAAGCCAAGTCCTCCCTCTGCCTTTGGAAAACATAACTCACCCCATACCACCCAATGTTTTCCTTTAATTCCTCCCAAGTTTCCCCAAAAAAACTTAGCAAAAATCTGGTGAATTTAATCCAACACCTTTTTGGGAGGGTTCAAGGCTAAAAGCATTTACACCGGCATAGATTGAAACACATTATTGATAAGTATCCATTTTCCCACCAAAGGTCAAAAATTTATTGTGCCATGTTAAGATTCTTTTGGCAATTTTCTGAACCATCTCCACATAATAGCTCGATTTCCTCTTTCCATAGAATACTGGACATTCCATATAGGTAAAAGGAAAATTTCCCTAACGTATTCCAGTCAACCTTCGCATCCGGATAGCTACTATAAGAGTTGTATGATCATGAAGGTAGAAAAAACTCTTAGTTTTATTAACCTTTTGCCCTGACACCAGCTCATAATCCCTAATAACCCTTATCATCTTGATAGAATTGTGTCATCCGCATATGATAAGTGGTTTATCTCCGGACTCCACTTGGGAAGTCCATAGCCCTTCATATTCTCATCCCTATGCAAGCTGTTTAACCCTCTAGATAACACCTCTATTGCAATAATAAACAAGGTAGGTGATAAAGGATCACTATGTTTCAACCCTCTTGTAGAATCAAAAAAACCATAGGTAATTCCATTTACTAACACTGAGTATCAATTGTTAGACATTATCCTCTATACCATATCTATAATCATCTCTGCAAAACCAAATTTTCTTAACACTTTTGTAAGAAAAATCCAGGAAACTCTATCATATGCCTTAGCCATATCTAGTTTTACTACCACATTAACATCTTTGCTCCTCCTGTTATTATCTCCTGTGCCAATAATATATTCTCTGTAATGCTCCTTCCTTTAACAAAACCTGCTTGATTTTGAGAAATAATATTTGGTAAAAACCAGAATTATCCTCTCATGCACCATCCTGGAGATAATATTATTTATGAAAAAACTGAGACTTATGGGTCTAAGGTCTGCAAAACACTTAACATTTTCTTTTTTGGGCAACAACACTAAATTCGTATGAGTTATGAACTTAGGTAATTCTTGTCCACAGAAGAAACCTTTCACCACCTTTGTAATATCATCCCCTATTATCTCCCAGCAACATTGAAAAAAATGACCTTTAAAGACATCTGAACCAAAGCGTTGTTCCCATTTAAATCAAAAACCACTCTTTTAACTTCCTCCAACTCTGGAAGCTTTGTCATCTGTTCATTCTCCTCTGATGTTATACATTTAGGAATATGATCAATCATTGAGTAATCCTTTGCTCTATTTTCCTCGGCAAATTTGTAACACCCCAGAAAATTTTTCGAATTAAGACTTGAACCATCCTTCGTTGTGAGTAGGATTTTACCGAGGAATTAAAATTTCTTAAGTGTTAAGTTCACTAGATGTAGCACCTTGAGTTCGAAAAAGAACTAAATTGGAAATAGCAAAATCTGAAATTTTGCAAGTTATGCTTAAGTATGAGTTTTGGGTCGACTTCAAACAACCATAAATCCTAGCTCAGGATGAGTTAGGTGTA